GTGAATGGTTGTCTGTCTCTATGTGTCAGCCCTGTGATAGTCTGGCGACCTGTCCAGGGTGTACCCCACCTCTCACCCAGTGTCAGCTGGGATAGGCTTCAGCGTCCAGTGTCCAGATTTGATTATGCAACTACTATCAGATTGCTACCTTTTTATTAAGTCCTGACCGTACCTATGGTCTGAGGACAGAGTGTCTGCAAGTAAATACACCACCACAAACTTCTAGTGTGTCATAAGTGATGATTGAAAGGGATTACTGCTGTATGAGTCTATACATTGTTTTTAAGAACCTTCAAGCTTACACTGAAAACCTCTTCTCACCACTAGCAAGAGTTTCAGCTCCCATCTCAGCTGTCCCTCAGGGACCCAGCTTAACAAGCACAAACCTGGTCACTGGGCACTTTTTTGCTGCTCCATTAGAACTGCTCTGTCAAAAGTAGTGTTACCCCCAAAAGGAGCAGCAGTACTCTCAGACAGCAATACCTCCTCAAGTAGTAAGCTAACGCTGACCACTTCCCCAAGCCAGAGATACAGAGCGGTGATACTCCCACTATGTTAGCTTCTTATCTGGAGGTTGCAACATTCCCAGAAGGCTCCTGACCTCTCTTAGCTGCGCTAGGCTACCCATATCAGACAGCTATCCACACACTTTGGGCTTTTTATGCAGTGGAGTTACAGTTGAGTCATGAAGCTAAGCATCCATTTCTCTAAAAAAATCAATTTTTGGAAAACCCAGAAGGTCGTTCAACAAAAGTTAGGGCTCTATTGAAGGTATTTTCAGAATTCTCAAAGACTCCTCTGACCATACAGAAATCTTCTCTATACTCACTGCATGATAAAAATGATTCTTAAGGATATATTGTGCAGGAGTTTCCTAAAAAGAGTGTGTAGACGCACTAAGAAGCATGCAGTGTTCTTATCTGCAGAGACTCTGCCCTCTGCCTGTATTTTCCTCTTACTTTGCTGTGATGGTGATGTCCCTGGTCTCAGTGCACAGGTGAGATTGGGACAGGTGCCAGACCATAAGCAGCACACATCCAAGAGGAAGCTGTGGAAATCACAGACACAGCGCCAAAAAATACCTTTCTTTTTTTTTTTTTTAAGATTTATTTTATGTTTTACCTTTAATGTGCAGGACAGACTGTCTGGGTTTTTCAAAGATTGCTGGGTATTTATTTTTAAGAGGACAGCATGCTCAGCTCTGTGGCTTAAATGTAATGCTAGTTCATAACAGGGGCTAAAGTGGACGCCCAGCAGTGTCAGAAACGGCACCACGAGAGATGAAATAGTACTTATAACGTTATCATCATCAGAACTGACAGCCAGAATGAAAAAAAGATTTCTATTCTGCCAAAAAGCATTTCTTTAGACATAATTCGAACATGTTCTTTGGAAGAGTGCTGAGCTGTTTAATACATCACTTTTGTTCTTGTCTTGTCCCTCTGCAGGGGATCAGCGATGATCCCATTCATCTGAAGATATTTTCTCCTCACGTTGTCAACCTCACGCTGGTGGATCTGCCTGGAATCACCAAGGTAATTCATGCTATACTTCCCACTGCTCGAGACAAGGCTGTGATCATCTCGTACCCCCGGGGAAATCTGTTATACAACACCTCCTGTTTTAAGAGATACAAATTGAGTAAATAAAAAAAGATATGAGTGGTCACTGGTGTTCATTTCCCCGTCTGGTCGATGCTTTTGTGTGTTTGATATCTGCAGACTGCAGGGAATTCATACCTCAGTCTTGATGCTGCTAAACTGTGTGCTGTCAAAGCCCAAGTGTACGCAGGCTTTGATTCGGGCCTCATTAGTTCCTCGCCTCTGGTTGAACATGTGTTAATTTGAGAAATACCCTCGCTGTAGTTTAAAATAAATCAAACTGAGATCTACTTTGTCTTTTCTTTTAATTGGTATTGTCCCCTCCAGGTGCCCGTGGGTGATCAGCCTAAGGACATCGAGGTTCAGATAAAGGATCTAATCCTGAAGCACATCTCCAACCCCAACTGCATCATCCTGGCTGTCACCGCGGCGAACACAGACATGGCCACCTCGGAGGCCCTCAAGTTGGCCCGGGAGGTTGACCCTGACGGTAAGAGAAACCTTAAATGGACTTTAAATGGATGACTCGGCACTGAGACAAGTGTGAGGAGACTATTCGTCAGAGTTAAACTGAGATTTTATACCAGGCTGTGTCAGGGCTTCATAGAAAAAAAAAAAAAACGAGGACAACGAAGGCAACGTTGAGGTTTTCAACGTTGAGGTTTTCAGTAGTGCATTATCTCGCAAACATGGAAAGAATTTGGATGGGTATGTTTAATTACATTTTTTTTATTGATTTCATTACCCCAAAGCAGAAAGCACACTTTACATGAGAGGATTCTGCTGTGTGGGAGCCAGGATGCCATCCCTGACATATATTTTGGGAATGTCCAGTAATACGATATTTCTAGTCAGAGTTGCACAAAACATTGGAGGGCATATTTAATGTGAAAATACCTTTCCATTTCTGCACTTTTATTTGAGGAAAAGTTGGCTTTCACTCAGGGCACTTCAACAAATATTAATTTGGTGTTCTGATGTCTACTTGAAAAAATAATTCAGGTACTGCAACATATTTGCTAAGTTATGGTCAAAATGAGTTTCTTATGTACAACAGTCACACTTCATATGGCATGCTTGGCACTCTTAAGTAATCAGACATACAGTTTACTGCCCAAAGGCGGTCACAAATTCCACGAGAATCAGGCAGATGCTGGGACTGATTCCATCTTCCCAACATCAGCAAAGCCCTGATTTTGTTGTGTTTATGTCTGTTTTCATTAGTTTATAATCACCTTACATTAGAATGAGCTGTTTTTTACATAGGGAGTGCATTCTCTTCCACAAAGTCCACCACATTGCTCTACAGTAGCCTGGAATGGACAAATCACACACTGTCTCTAGATGGGGCCATTGCGTTTTTGTGTTTTTGCATCGATCATCATAGTTCTCAAAGTTTTGGTTCTGCTACGTCACTGCTAGATGCCACTAAATCCTACTCACTAGACCTTTTAGGGAAAGATTGCTTGATCTCCTAACCCTTTTTTTAACCTTAGATAACTGCTGGATTGTCTCCGGACATGTCCTTGTACATCTGTATATGTGTAGTTATTGAAAATTGTATAGGATGCATCTTGTTTTTTTAAAGGCTAATGATAAGGGAAGAGTTTCAAGACATGCATTTTATTAGTTTCAGTCTTGTAATGCTAACTGTGACTGCAACAGGCTATTGCCTCGTTGTTAGTGAACTGTTCTAATCTGTCCTCTAAATAAAGAATTAAAAAAAAAAAACTGAAAGGAAAGCATAACCCAAAACCATTATCACAACCTCATTTAAAAAATGTACATGAACCTTTAATTAGCTGACATTTCATTATTAATTGTGACAGAAACACTTAAAGAATGTGAATGTGTTTGTGAATGAACGTGACTCACCAGGCAGGAGGACGCTGGCTGTGGTGACCAAACTGGACCTGATGGACGCCGGCACTGACGCTATGGACGTCCTGATGGGCCGAGTCATTCCTGTCAAACTGGGCCTCATTGGAGTCGTCAACAGGTCTGTGAGACTACATTTACTGTTCTGAATACACTATAAAATAATCCATCACTCATAATAGAGATAAGTGTGTAATGACAGATAGAGTTGAGTGTACTTTAATACATATTTAATGCTGGTATATGGATATCTGATGTTTGTGATTACAGTGATAAAGGAATACATTGTGAGATGCTGTAACATTATAAAACATGATGAAAACTACCTGCTTTAATTTCATTATCATTAAATTCAGTTTAGTGAACGTCAGTAACTACTGTATGCATAAAAACAGATAGAGTATCATGATACAGTGCATTAGGCAGCATAAGATATGACATTTTAATACATATGAATTTGACTTCTGTATATCCTGTCATCCATTTTTAATTCCCTTTATTGCTCAGGACTAATTGCTGGTGTATGATTGTATTTAAATATTTAGGAGCCAGCTGGACATCAACAATAAAAAGTCAGTGGCTGATGCTATTCGAGACGAACATGCTTTCCTGCAGAAGAAATATCCGTCTCTCGCCAACAGAAATGGAACCAAATACCTGGCCAGAACCCTCAACAGGTAAACCTGATTAGAAACATTATCATTACACACGTGTGCATGTGTACAAAGAATAAAATACGATGCAGATATTAAGGTGTGGATGTAACATTTTATGAGGACATATTAAAGGGATAGTTTTGATTTTTTGAAGTAGATGTCAGCAGGCACGCCCCCAGTTTGGAGAAGCAGGCAGGAGTACTGCCACAGAAGTAAAGCAATGTACTGCTGTGGACGGGGTCAGCAACAAAATATATTTTAGCTACCTCAAGAAAAATCAATATCAGTTTATGTGTATGCTGTAGGCATTTTGCCTTTAATGGACAGGACAGCCAGGGAAAAAAGTGGATATATTAATATCGGTATGGGTCATCAGTCAAATGAGTTGTTGCATATCGGATATCAGCAAAAAATCAGCGCAAGTTGGAGGTGAGTTGAATCAGAACTCTTCGAGACCCTCAGGACAGCTGGCGATCCTTGGGTTCCCCACTCACAACAGGATAGTGGAGCATTGAACTGATTTAATATTTGTGATGTGAAATCGGTGCAGCCAGGATGGATTTCAGAGATGATTGGTGCATATAAAGGACGCTGTTAATGTTCCTCACACTACAGGAACATTGAGCAAGATGATTTTTAGAACGTGGTGCGTACCCGGCATTAGTTTGTTTGGTGTATTGTGTCCAAACTAACCCTTAAACTATACTATATCATACTACACTTCCTCAGGATGCTGAGGAGGCCCAACCTCTCTGCAAATTACTTAAGTCATTCTACCACTGTTCAGTGTTAGAACATATTATGGCCTGGTATAGGAACTGTTCGGTGGCAGACAGGGCAGCTCTCCAGAGGGTGGTCAACACAGCAAAAAAAATGATTGGACTGCCCCTGCCTGCCCTAGAAGACATCTACAGGTTTCACTGTCACAGCAGAGCCTGCAGGATTGTTAAAGACAGCTCTCACCCCTTTCACCACCTGTTCACTCTGCTGCCCTCTGTAAGACGCTACTGGGCTCTGAAATGCCGCACCTGCAGACTGAGGAACAGTTTTTACCCTACTGCCATACACAACCTGAATTCTTCCCCCCCAAATCCCCCTCCCTGCACCACCACCACAACAGTTTTAAATTGCACTACCATGGATATAGCATTTTATTTATCATATTTTAGCCTTATCCTTTTTTAATGTGTGGGTATGTGAGTGTGTGTTGAGTGAATGGGCT